TGTTGATATTTGCTTGGGAAATGTTTGAGGATCAGAGGAAACAAGGATGTTTCATGTTCTGTTCTTAATTTTATTTATTTATTTATTATTGCTCTATTTGGCTGTTGCTGTTCTTACATTTCTAGGTTGTGAATCTTGATAATTAGGTGAAAAATGGAAGTATGTTGGTTCAGATTTTCTTCCATACTTCTTATTGAAAATGTTGCGATTTTCTTTTCTTTCTTTTTCTTTTTTTCTTCGACGAGCTTCAGGGAATGGTATAACTTAGTTAAGCTTCAAGAACAAGATGAAGAACTTCAAAGCTCAGGTATTAATTCTCTCAGCTTTACAAGCTGTAAGCCTGTAACAGTAATCTCTTTTCTGCGGATACATGTGGTTAATTGCGTTGGAATTGGAAATTCCAGATTCTAACGGAAGCAACTATTCAGATTCCGATTCAGAAGATACAGATAGTGATGAAGAGGCCCAGCTTTCAGGTAAACAAAGGGAAAGCTTTTTCCGGTCAATGATATTATTATTATTACTATTATTATCTTACTCTTATCTGCATAACTTTGGTCTTTGATCTTTCATATCGTTCGTGCACTTTCATTCCCACCTTAAGTGACCAAAGTTGGTTTAAATCTCCTGTTCGAATCATTTAGTTTTCTTGATCGTGTTCGTAAGGTGATTGAAGTCTAACACGGCCAAAACATCTGCACCAAGTTCGTAAGCTCAGTTCAAACTTACATTTCATCCTTGTTTTCATCACTTGCATTTCAGAAATGCCCAAAATTTAGTTTAATTTAAGCTCTGTTTGTAAGTGAATTTTGTTTAGAAAAAAAAAAAAAAAAAAAAAAGACTCATGTTTATGATCATAACTTTCAATTTTCATATCAACAGTAGCAGACTTTTTTTGAGAAAGTACAGACGTGTACACTCCCAAACATTTCTTCTATTATAATTTCTAAAAGCAGATGGTGTGAAGAGAAAAAAGCTGAAGCTGCTAAGGGAGCTTAAAACCCACAATGGCCTAAAAACCCTCGACTCAAAATATTCGAAACCCGAATTACTATTCGACGTGCGAGTGTCGGTCAATGTAAGCCACCGGCAAGAAAACGTCCCGTTTGTCCATCTCACGAGTCAACTCGGAGGTCAACCAGTCGTGGGGTACCCTGTGGAAATCCAAGTGCTGAAAAACGAGCTTTCGAAAACTTTATGCTGTAGAAGAGAAAGCAGTTATGCGTTCGATAGGCTCGTTTGGAAAACGGGCAAAAGGACACCCGTTTACTATGTCACAAAAGATAGAAGAACTGCTGGTGGTGGCTCGATGATGCCAGCTGGCAAGAATGGGGAAATGCTCGAGAAGGGAAAAGAGTCGAGCCGTGGAAGCTGTGTGCGTGTGGAGCTCGTTTTTGGGAAGTTACTAGCGGCTATCGTCTGATAGATTATCGATACCAAATACGGAATTTTGATGGATTTGTACCTAAGGCAGACTTTTGAGTTTTGTCCTGATCATTAGGTACATTTTTTAAAATTGAAATTAGAGTAATTTCACTATGGAAAATATGTAGATATTTATAATTGTGTCTGACACCTTTGAGCTTTGGTAGCTTTTGTTCTCCTGCAAATCTTTTTTCATCTTTCCATTGGTGAGTTTTGCTTAACAAGTGATTTTTCATGTTATGATGTATCATCTTTTGATACTTGTAGGAAGAATTAACAGCTACTGCCATTAAAATATTAATTTAATTTTTAAAATTTTATAGAAAGGGTTTCAGTTATTATAATTACCAAAAAGGAAAGAAGTGAAGGAAAAAAAGGTGGGTACCAAAAGTACAATAATATTGGTATGATTAGTTGTTAGTGAGATTTTGAGTTTATATTAAAATAATATTTAAAATAAAATAATTAAAATTGATTTGATGTAAAAATATGAGAAATATGATATGAATTGAAAATTAATTAAAATTATGTGAGTGGAATAAATAGTAAATTAAAGCTGATATGATATATAAGAATGATTGATTGATATTATTTAATTATAATAATATTGAAGATAGTAAAATTAAATTAAAATTAAATTAGATTTAAATATAAATTAAGTATGAGTTGAAATAATTTATAAACAAACACACCCTAAATAGCTTGACCAAAATCAACTGATAAAATATCTAAAGACCTACAAAAAAAACTTTTCAAAGAAATATTTGAAAAATTCTACAGCTTCAAAGCCTGCGAACAAATCGATAGAAACACAAATTGGAGATAGATGCGCAAAAAGAGAAATCAAATGTACAAACAAATTCAAAGATAGATGAACCAACAAAAACCATATAAACTGCATAGGATAACCGGACTACAAGGTTATACGCCTAACCAACCGGCAACAGTTGTAGAAAATTAAACCTCTTCTCCAGTTACTTAAAATGTCAGAAAAAAAAAAAAGAAACAAAACACTGAAACACTTTACATTAGTAGATAGATCAAGAAAACATATCAAAAACGAAAAAATTCTGGAAAAAAAAATAAATAAATAAACCCAAAAGCTGTTCGAGCATCCATTCATAACCAGACTCATTCTTCAGCATGAGATGCATGGATTTTCACCTGGATGGGGTTTCAGATGGCGGCTGAGCATTCAAAGCCGAACTCGAAGGAATTGAAGGCAAAGCCCCGTTTTCTTGAGAAGCGGACCCACCAACACTAACTCCCCATTTGGCCTCTGCATCCGATGGCTCGATCACGTGGACCCCACCATCACTCATGCCGAGTGCAAATTGGTTCGCGTCCGAGGGGTGGGCTGCAATTACCATAGGGAAAACATTCCCATTGCTAAAAAAAAAAATAAAAAAAAAAATAAATAAATAAAATCAGATAAATAATGAGCAATCAATATTACCTAATTGGATTAGGTACATTATTTTCCGAATAAAAAACAAAAATTGCGCGTCTAATAGCTTTTTGCTTACCTGGAAATGGACGAGGAAAAATAAGCAGACAGTGCTATACGACATCGGAGGTTCAAACTGTCGGAATCAAATATTCCAACAGCACCATCACAAAATCCAGTAAAAATCAGCTGCCCATCACACGAATATATAGCACTTGAAATTGGCGAGGAAAGGGAGTCTCTCGGATACCACTGCATAATGGTTATTAAACATAAAGATAAAAAAATAACAAAATTAACACCAAATCTTCTTCTCTATTGGGAAAAACTCTCGATTGGTTTGATAAATATTTTTGAACGCGAAAAAAACAGGACACTTACCGATCTCAGGCATTCAAGTTGGGAGTCGTATATAGCAATTTGGCTTTCATGAACAACAAGAAGATGTGATTGATTGTTATGGAATTGAACTTTAGTTTCCCCACTCAAGGGAGTGGGTTGACCTGGTGGGGCCTGTATGACCCGTGATTTCTTCTTCTCCCATCCATCAATACTCCAAACACACAACTGTCGTCAGACATTGAGAAGAAGAAATCATATACAATGATATATGCAAATTATTCAGAAATATTGACCCAGAATCTTTTCAAGAATTTTTGTGTGTGTGAAAAAAAGTGAAATATGGACCCAGAATCTTATATTGGATTTTACTTGCCTGTGCATCAGCTCCAGAGGAAACCAATATATTCAAGCTCTGTGAAAATGCGAGCCCCGAGATTCGCTTCTGGTGACCCTTGAGCTTGGTTTTAACCTACATGGACAATTTCAGTTCACCAAATGCATTATTTAAGAAAAAAACTACCAATCTTGATTCTAGTATTTTATGAAAAGTAAGTTGGACGAAAAAAAAATAGGTTGACAAACTGAACAAATAACTTCCACATGAAAAAAGAAGGTTTTACTGCAGGAATGTTACAGGAGTATTTGCAAGAACTAAGCAGTTACACTCCCCATTATTCACAAATCTATGCCAGAAATGATTTTACCTCATCAACCCTAACATTGTAAATCTGTATTGTAGAATCTTCCATTCCAATAGCAATTATATTGTTATCCTGAGGATGAAATGCCAGATAAGTTGCTGCAGGAGGTGGTGGCATGAAAGTTGTCATGACCTGACCAGAACCAATACACAATAATATCAAGTTTAAATAGACAAAATGCTAAAAATGTGGTAATAATAAGAAGAGTTTCCAAAAAAAAAAAAAAAATTATGAAGATACAAACCTTAAAAGTCATCATGTTGAACAAGGAAACCTTCCCTCCAGAAGCAGACATTACGTACGAATCATTTTTCGACAAGGCAATGCACGCAACAGAGTCTTCAGCTTGTTTCCCATCATTCACGTCATTAGACATGAGAGCCCCATTAGTAGGCTGCCATAATTGTGGCACACAAGATGCAGAGGACTGAAAGAACGTACGATATCATTTATAGTAAGTTAATAAAAAAATATCATGAAACAATGAGAACAGAAATTATATAATAAAAAAAGAAATAAAAGGGTAAAAAGGGACAGTTTGACACAGATGGAAATGAGAACTTATCATTTTCCTTTCGCTGGGGAAAGAGTCCCCAAGTTGTGATTGAATAGAAATCTTAGTGTTAGGTCATTCACTTTTATTTCCTCAATTTCATCAACAAATATTTCAAAACAAAAAACAACTGTCACTACATGTTTCCCTACAGATTTCTAACCACCAATCATTTTTAATTCTTATTTTAATCATTTTTAATCCTTCTTCACCAGCCACTTACATATTTCTAACCACCAATCATTTTTAATCCTTATTTTACTCTTTTTGTTCCGCATCTTCAAATCAATCTCTCTCTTATATCCTTCACAATCGAAATTTTCTACTTTTCCCTTCCAACAACCTTTAACATAATTAACCAGTGTAACTAAAAAGAAATAAAAGAAATCTGGTGAAAGCATTTCCAGTCTCAGCCTTAATCTCCCAAAATTCAAGCATCACAGACTCACAGTTGCTTCTACTAACAAAATGCAAACCGAATAGATATATTTCTAGGTAAATGCAAACACCAATAAGTAATTTCATAGATTAATGGGATTTTTGTAATTTAACCCCTAATAATAAAAACTAAACATAAAAATAATAACATTAGCTCTGACCTTTCCGGACGGATTGCGTTCATTGCGCTGCCACTTCCAGAGCTTGTGAATAGCATTAGAGGCCAGAGCCAGTACCGCTAGCCCCGAATTTGTGTATAGCAACCTCACAACCTGCATTTGATACAGAACACAGCAAAAGGAAAGCTTAAAAAGCCCATCACAAATATTGATAATCACAAGCAATGTCAGGATTTAGAGTGGTACACATGTGCCAGCAGGAATTGGACTTCTAAAATCAACACCTGAAGATCTTATCCAATAACAATAAATAAACAAATAAGAATCGATTCACAACACATACTTTGCTAGGTGTGAGAGGATCAGGCAGTTTCAGAGTCTTGAGTTGAGAAGGATCAGATATGTCCGGCGATCTCCAGATTTTCGGTTTTTCGATTGCCTCATGAACCCTCGGTTTTACATCAGCTACCCTACCACTATCCATGCCAGACTGAACAATTTGTTCACATGAAATGAGAAAATCAAATAGCACATAATGTTGAACAGAAAACCACCAACGTATCAGTTGACAAAGTCAAATTATACTAAAAGAGAAATACCAAAAGGGACATCGGCAGCTGCACCCTATCATTACGTTCAAGGATAGGAGATGCCGAGGTGGAAACATTAGTCATGGGACCTAAAGCACCACCAATAGCAGGCTGTAGCCAAAAAATAAAATGTCATAGCTATAGTAACCACAGAAGAAATTGAAAAACAAAGTATCAATCAATCAATCAATCAACAATCCGTTAAAATCCCACTAAGTGGGGTCTGCTATATGGATCACATGTCGCCATCGTGCTCGATCCAAACACATATCCTCATTCAAATTTAAATACTTTAAATTATTTTTTTATTGTTTCCTTTTCTATTGAAAACCAAAAGTATATAAAGAAAAAAATAAAACATAAAAAGAAGGGAACATATATTACTTTGACATTGACAGCTTCAGAAAGACCACGTGGGCCATCAAAAGCCCTGGTCTCCAGCATTCTCAGCATCCGCTGCCCATCAGTATTCGCCAGGATCTTAATTCCATTGTCACTAGTTGTAACAGCCAGCAATGAACCTTCCTTGTTGAATCTTAATCTGGGACTTGCCTGTAAAAAAAAAAATGATTTTCCATATTTGTCAACAAAATATATGGAAATTGCAAAACAATCTTTATTGGTTTTCATGTACAAGAGACACTAACAGGCAGGCCACCATCGCTGTCTGTGTAAGTAAGGATGTTTGTATTGTCCATGTCCCAAAATTTGATCTGAAACTCGTCACCAGCTGCTAAGAACCGATTCCTAGTTGTATCAAATTGTACAACACCCAAGGAACGCTTCCGGAAGCCAGAGTATGCCCTCTTGATGGCTCCTTCACTTTCATTCCACTCAACCAGATGAGATTCGCCCTCCTTGCTTGTTCCACATGAGAAAAGCCTGAAAGAATACATAGACAATGAAAACCTAATCAAAATCCTAGAGTGTTAAAGAAAATCGCGCTAAGATTCCAACAGAACAGATCCACAGCACTGATATTGGCCCCAACAG